TGATTCAAGAAGATCTCAAATTCCAAAATTAATAGATTAAAAATGCAGCTCAGCTTCATGCGAGGACAAAATTGAATTACTCTACTGTGTAATAGACTATATATATTTTTTTTTTGTAGTTGTGTGAAACGCTTCTGAAGTCAAGTTCATTTGTATAGCACAATACAATTATACTCATGTTAACCTTGGTTCCTGCCCAAGCTTTCTAAGCAAAACTCCCTTAAAAAAGTAAAAATCCCTGGACAATGAAAGATGTTATAACAAACAAACAAACAACAAACAAACAACAACAAAATGAACACAGTTGTAACAATAATAGAAATACAGAGTGAGTCCAATAGCAGTTCTGGTCAGTTTATGAACTGGAGTCCGAGAGGGGTAAGATGGGGGATGGGGTTGAGTAAAGAAGAAGAAGAAGAAGAAGAAGATTTACTTTATTATTAATCCCCAATGGACACATAATTTTTTCACTCATGTTTACACACACACAGGCCTGAAAAATAATCATACACACACAGGTCTTATAGACATTTAAATGTGAAGAGGTGTTGGGGTGATGGGCTGCCACGTAGCAGCTCTCTGGGAGCAGTTAGGGGATGGGTGCTTTGCTCAAGGGCACCTCGACAGCACACAGGAGGTGGAACTGGCTCCTCTGCAGCTACCAGTCCACAGTTGGTACGTTGAATGATCCAGGTGGCTATGGTTTAGAATACTGAGTACTCTGATATATTGTGCTTCAATAGGTTTGTGGTCAGAAAGATGAGTTAAGAACGGTTCACATGTTTTGTCTCATCATTCCCTCTTTTTCCTGTCTCACTTTCCTCCTCTCACGGCTCCTGCTATATCAATCTGGCAGCAGAAGGGAAAGTTGTAAAAGCAAATTTTACTTTGTATACGCCAGTGTGTGCTCCTCTTCATCAGTACACTGACGTGTGAAAATGCCACAGGAAAGGTAAATCTCACTTAGTTGTGCTTTTCTGTTATTTATTCCACTTTATTGGGGATCACACTTTATGCGTTTAAGGGTAAGATTTGTTTCTTGAACTGTGGTGGCAGCAAAGCCACAGCTACATTTCATGCAATAACCTGAAAGCACCAGGTGTTGTTATATTGCTTTTCTGACACTCCATGTTGTAAAGGGCACCTTTTGCTGTAAAGCAGTTTAGAATAAATCCTTTAGATGTTATGTTGCCTTTTATTTTGTGGCTCGTTGTAAAAACTGCTTGTTAATTCACACCACTCCTGTGTCTTGTGTCAATTTCTACAGTATCAGGACAGATAGGTAATGACAAGGTTACAGAAAGAATGCAAAGAAATGAATTTTCGTATTTCTTTTTCAGCTAATTTAATATATTTAAGCAAAACAAATACTTTGGTGGCATTGTCACTGATTTGAATGGAAACATGCAGTTAATTTTGTGCAGTAATTCCTTCTACAATCTTAAACAGAAGTGTGATTTTATGTTTTTTTTAGTTCCATATCTGCCCATCTATCTTTGTCCGTCTGACTAGGTGTCTATGGGTATGTGGTTAAATCTTTCTAACTCTCACAACAGATAGGTAACTTAACCTGACTGGTGAAGTGAGAGTTTCTATCCTGCTGAAGGTCATTACAGGAGCTAATCTGGCGAGCTTTCCCGCACCTCATGTGGCTCTTCCCAAATGCTTGTCTGGACTTAGATGTGACGATTAATTAGTGAGCTGGCTTTACAGCTCTGTGACATCGGGGTACTCCTTTGAAATTCATGACATTTGTTTGAACAAGGCTGAGCAAAGAAGTATGTTATTTTGTTGTTTCAGAGTAGTTCATGGTTTATACAGACTAGATGGCTCTAGGAGAAGGAAAGGCATTGTATGAACAATGATCAGTGTGTCTGTTGCCTGAACAAAATGTATTTTGAAATACTTTTAGGAGGTTGTGATAAAATCCTCACTGTGCCAGGGACTAGATGTTATTTTCTTTAGCAACATTTTTCACCAGTACATCTGACTACTGATGCAGTAGATTAATTATGTCCTGGCTATACAGTACCTGTAGGTTAGAATTTGATTTCTTTCTCCCTTGTTTACAGGAATTGTATATTTATTGTGTCACCTTCTGTAGTCTTACTACAATCTCACTCCCCCACCACCACCTTAAGCATGTGTTCATTGCTGTGTTGACACGTGGCAGCAACTGCGGCTAATCTTGATGTTAAATGGCTGACAGTTGTGTGGCACCAGCCAGGGGACTCTGAGGGCTCGTAGTTTACCGTGGCCATGTTGGCGTCTTCTTTTGAGGTGACATATCTCAAGTCTAGGTGCATCCTGCATTTACCTCATTTATCCAGCTTTAGCTTGTTATGTCACAACCCTTGGTGACAGCCCAAATCCCAACGTGGTGCCATGAGAATAAGAATGTCCCTCAAACTTAGACGTAGTAAACTGTAAACTGTGTTTGATGTTTTATTGTACACACCAAAGAACAGTTTGTAATCCATTTTGTATTTGTCTTTTGGCTTTCTTTTTACTTACACCAGAGATTGTGCAGCCTTGTGACTGTGTGATGCAGCCAACTTCATCAGTAAGCTTGTCACCAAATATCCACCAGTAATGTAGATTTGATAGTCCGTGGTTCTCATCCTCCAGCAAACAGTATGATGTCCTTGTAGAAAAGGGTTTATAGGCGTTGAGTTGGTAGACTTAGCAGGGTTAAATATCTGGAACAATGGGAGTGGACGGAGTTATAGAGGCTTAAATGTCTTTATACACTGTATCACCATTAAAAGATTGCAATGATAAAAGAGTGTTGTCAAATATTTCCATCTGT